TGGGGGGCTGGCTTTGCTGTCGGGTGGGGCGGTGGGTTACGTCCCCTATGTGACTCGGCGCTTTTTTAAAAAGCATGCAGTCAAAGAATAGTTATGCAAAGAAGGAGAACGTTTCTGATAACCTGTATCACTCCAGAGTCAACACTTTCATCTGGTGAATGAGTCATTTCTGAGCGATCTCTATCCGGGTGAAAATAACCCTTACGTCTTCTGAGGAAGATACATGAATTTTAGGTTATTCGTTCTTCATTCTGAGGTGAAAAACAATTTAGGAACTTCCCCCCCCCAACACAAACTCTTCCTTTGTTGCTTCGTTTGAGTAATTAGGATCTCAAAGGAAGCGGAAAATATTATTGCACAAATTGGCATTATGATCATCATTAAGCATGCAAAATTAACATGGCCTGTAACAGTTTGTCACGTTATCCCAAAAGTTCTGCCACTTTATGCTGAAGGAAGCTGAAAATACCTGTTTCTGTACCTATTCGATCTATAAATGGACCTTAGTTGAGTATTCCTTCTGTCTTTTCCAGTGCTGGTGGGATCCTTAGAGCCCCGTGTAGCACTTGTAAGGAAGCTACTGGGTTTTGCAATCTGCCTGACATGTGAACAAGAGGGCAGTGAGTTGGTGTGTCTCCCACCATGCACTCCTGGGCCACATCCCATTTCAGCAGCATGTCAAGCTTCGCAGAGGCTGAATGTGTTACTGAACATCCCGTTAGTAGGATGTTGTCAAAATAAAAACAACTGTAAAAGGTTAACGTGCAGGGAAGGGGGTTTTCAGGTAATGAAGTTGTGTTACTTTTTCTAATAATGACATCAGAGTCACAATCTACCGTCACGTTCAAAGTATCGTTGAAGGAAGAGTAACATTAAATATAACTCAGAATTTTTTATGTCATTGGTAAAATTGCCTCAATGATAACTCATAGGTTGAACAATATTCTCCAGCTACATTTTTGAGAATCACTTTTAATGGGAGTTTACTGAGTGTTTCATAGGTAAATGTCTGAAATAGCCCTGCACAAATTAATAAATATTTATTTCGACATGTATCTTTTTCAGTGTGGCTCAATGCCTTTAAGTACTTTACATTTTCTAGCTATCCTAAGTAATGGTAGTTCCCAAGCTTGGCTGTTCACAATCCATTTCCAGGCTTGGGATCCCTCTCCCATTTGCATTTCCAGGCTCACAACTACTAGTTGGGAAACCTTGTTATGTGATATGCAGCCATAAAACCCTCCCAAATGTACTCCTATCTATCCTTTCTTAGGATGCCCAGGTGCACTTCAAAGCTAACTGGAGATACGGTTTTCTCCCATCACTTCTTGATCCTGCATTCTCTTCTGCTGGCAAAGCAGAAGCATCTGACTCCCCTTCCTGACAGAAAAAAACTTTGCTCGTACCAGTGCTGAAATTCCAAAACCAATCACTGTTATTAAATACTCAGATATTTGGCTGAGCCCACCAGCCCATCCTGGTGATAAATTTCAAGGTATGTGGCTAGCACTAAATAAACCAGTCTAAGTCTGTCTAGGCTGTCACAGTGTAGGCAAAATGCCTGCATTCCTGGATGTATGGCTACCCTTATATTTAAAGTCCTCAATACAGTGAATGCATGTTGCATCAAATGGATTTATTTGACCCTGAGAGTTAAAACTCTGTTCTTTAATGAAGGTAGGCTTCTTCCCCTTGTATGTAGAAACCCCTACTTCTATTTTGTTGGGAGGGGAGTGCTCGTCCGCCAGAAACCAGGGGGGCGCTGCCCCCACGAGTGAGTGGTCTCCCCATTCATACTGTGTCCTTTCTCAGCGCTCTTTCTCTAACCGTCCACTACTGGTCACTGCTGGACCGCAGCTCCACAAGCAGCTGATCCATTGGTTTCTGACCACCGGAGGGAGAAGGCTGGCTCCCTTCTGTTGTACTCCACTGGAGATGATTCCTAAGGACACTAAACTCTGACCCTACGGGAATAGAGCTGAGGCCCAATTCAGGTCCTCCGATATTATCCCTTTCTGAAGAATTTACTGTAGCTCTGGCCAAAAATAGGTAGTGTCCGTAAGAAAGTATAGAACATCATGAAGAGTGCAATTTTGCCAGAAGTATTTCCATATCGCTTTTTTTTTTTTAATTGAGAAAATCAAACACGATTATATGATGGATTTAAATTTGAAAAACTCTGCTATCATTCTGTTTTTGGCTTTTATTTTTAAAAATCTCTCCCATCCTTCTTACCCTTCCATTCCTTTCTTTCTTTCCTCACAAAACACAAAAAATAATTTTAAATAACTGGAAGAAGAGGAAAAGGTTGTCTTACTTATTTGGAAACCTCCTCCCCCCTCTTCCCTCAGAATATATAATTGCGTGAAAGTTTGCCAGGAATTATCTAGTTTTCATATTGAAAATAGATTTAAAAACCCTTGCGGTTCTACTTTACAGTTAGAAATACAGGGAGCAATTGCAGTTGGTAAACAAAGGTGCCCGGTGCCATTACAGACATCCCAGGCTGTTGGAGACACCTACACAGGGCTGGCAGGTAGGAACTAGGGATCAGGAGACCTAGGTCCTTCTGAAGCAGCCATTGCAGGCCAGATGGGAGGCCACTTCCAAATCTAAAATGGCACTGGATGCA